ACTTCCTTGCGTACGGATGACAGCTGCGTATGACTTAATTTATTTTCTGGTGGTTTCACGTTCAGAGACAGTTATAAGCACTGGGTAACTGCCTCGAGGGTGCTTGACCATTTTAACACAACGTGGTGCGATCATTCCCCTTGCGCTGAGTGAGGGTTCTCCACCCCGCACAACATGATCCACTCGACCACCAGTATGGTTACCGCCAAAAAAAAACCGGAGGTAAAAAAAAGAAACGGTAACCTGGTTCCGAGCTCACGAAGCGAATTGGCTTGTTTCTCAAGGTCGCTGCCAAGCGACGAAAACCCAACCCCGATGGCAAACACCAGGGGGGCGGCGGCTTGTTTCACAACGTCGTTGCCAAGCGACGAAAACCCAGCCCCGATAGTGAACACCGGGGGGAAAAAGGGCAGGGGGTGGGGGGACACATTTTGCACCAGGAGTGTCGTAGCGGGGGTGTTGTCGCAGCACACGCGCTTTGTTTTGGGATTGGGGTAAATTTGTCTTGTTTGAATTCTAAACACAACCTAACCTTTTCCCAATCATTCCAGTCGGTCTTTCCCCGCCACGACTTGAAACCACGCGGAGAACATCCCTCTAGCCCACAAATACGCATACACGCGCAAGTGCTGCCGTGGCAGCGCCGAAGTTGGTGGTTGACCGTTTCATTCTGCGCGCCACTTTCGTTGGAAAACCTGTCGTTTGTTTGTCTACTAAAAATACGACAGGCGAGGCTAAAGCGGCACAAGAGCGCATCTCCTTCCTCCGCCGGGACGTGCAGCGTAGCGAGGCGGCACTGGCGGACTCGGAACGCGCGGAGCTCGGGGTGAAGGAGAAACTGGTCCTGCTGCGAAAAAGGGACCCTGATCTGTGGGGTGCGTTTCTGGGCGGTCGTGGTGGTGACGGTCGTGGTGATGACGCTGCCGGAAGGCGGGCATTGAATCGTAGCGGCAGAGTAGGTCGAGAATTACCTCGAGAGAAAGGAGTGGTATGTTCTTACTTCGTCGGGGAAAATGTGTTTTCTCTGTTCATTGTTTGAAGCGTGACCCGATCTGCGTGGTATCCGGAAACGCCGGGTGTCTGGGGGTGTTTTTTTTCAGTGCACGCAGAGGGGTTGACTCTTTGCGCACAGGGATGTGGTAGGAGCAGGCAGGCTGCCGGTTAGCGCGCCTGTGAAGAACGGTCGTTTTTGGTTTTTGGTTGGTTTCGACGTATAACCGCTTGGCGGGAAACGCGTCTGCGTGCTCGCTTGATCTACTGTCGTACGTCCAACGCAGTTGTGTAGAAGTGTGTTGTGTCCCCATCTGTTCCAGCCAGCAGTTTTTGCACCTTTCGTTATGTTCTGGAAGCATCAGCCGGGACGTGTCGAAACGGGAGGAAGACCACAGAGAGACTCCCATTATTTATGGTTATCCCTCCGCCTTTTTGTTGATCCACCGACTACCGTTCGCAAAACGGACACTCTAGACCGATACCACTTGCATCCAACATCTTTCCGTCGTTCCGTTGTTCCGTTGTCACACGGACTCAAACAAATCAACACCCGGGGGGGGGGGGAATGGTTGCAGCCGAGCTCGCCAGCATCAACAGATCAGGCGGGGAGAGCCCGGACCAGGTCGCAGCAGCGGCGGCGCTTGCGGCGTCTCGCGAGGTGGAGCGTGCGGAGGAGCTCGCCTCGTCCTCGCGAGCCTCTCTCGCGGACGCACAGGCCACCCTCAGGCACGCGGCCGAGGCTGTCCAGGCGCACGCGGGTCTCGAAGTGGTCGGCAAGGTGTGGATCGACGATAAGCGGTGACGCTGTTGATGGGGTGGGGCGTTGGTTCGTTGGGGGTGGCGAGCAGCGCTAGATAACACTACTGGGATGAATACAACGTCGTGGAGCACTAATGCCGGTTGAGGTAGGAAGGAAATCGTCGCAAGCTGTAAATGAGTACAACCATGCTGAGAAAGGGGAGTAATAGCGACTCAAGAGCAAGAATAGACTGCTAAAGTGGTCGGTACAGAGCAGGGTTAGGGTTGGTGATCGGTATCGAGTGGTTTTGACGTGGGTCAAACGAATGGACTGGCGTGAGAGTCTCAGAGGAAGACGGGGGAAGATAGCGTACCCAATCTGTTGCATCTTTATTCAATCAACCAAGGCCTGAAGGGCACCCGATCACTCAGCCGGTTTGCTTGTACCGCCCCTCCCCCAACCCGTCCGAAGGGTGCCTGCCACACGTGCGGACAGCCCGTTTCGCCCAACATCATCCACGAGCGCGGGGAGATCCTCCGGGTGTCCCAGACAGTCGCCGAGGCGAAGCTGGCCAGGTCTCAGAGGGAGGCGACGGTCGCTCGCCGGTCGCTAGAGCTGGCTCGGGATAAGGCCGATCTGGTGGGCGAGCTACGGCGCTTGGAGAGGGAGCAGCGGGAGGCCCTCGGGCGGAAGAAGGAGAGCGGGGAGGAAGCAAGGGCACGGCGAGACGAGCTCCGGTGAGATTTTTTTTTTTTTTTCCTGTGAGGAATGCTTGAGTGCCGCCGCGGATTATGGGGTGGATGGGTGTAGGTGGTTTTTTGGCGTGCTGCTTGTTGGCTGTGGTTGGAGGTTGTGATGGTGGCGGAGGTGGTGGTGCACCCAGGTTTGTGTGATAGTTGTGATACTTGTGGTTTGTGTGATAGTTGTCTCGCGAGGGGACGAGGTGTAATGTTTGCTGTCGTACATTGAGAGAGAGAGAGAGAGAGAGAGAGAGAGAGAGAGAGAGAGAGAGAGAGAGAGAGAGAGAGAGAGNNNNAGAGAGAGAAAGAGAGAGAGAGAGAGAGAGAGAGAGAGAGAGAGAGAGAGAGAGAGAGAGAGCAGGTCCTTCAAGAGCCCAACGAGAGGTTCAACGTTTATTTTATTCTGTGATTTTGTTCTGTGCGCTAGGTACATCATGGGCATGTCTTTGAAGCAATTGTGACGTTTCTTTTTGGGTGACCTTGCCTGGTGCCATCACGTCCGTACAGGGTAAATGCGATCGATGGCCTATGCATGAACACAATTTGCAAAAGTTGTTGTCGTATCAGCCACAGCAGTAAGCCCTTAAAACTGAAAATTGTTTGACAATCGTTCGGTGTCGTCGAATCAGGCGAGCGAAGCATGCGGCTACCGCGGCGGAATCTAAGATGGAGGAGCAGTCTCGAAGGGAGGCGGCTCTGCGGCGGGAGTGGGAGGGCAAGACCAAGGCGGCGGAGTGGGCTCTCAAAGCGCTCCGAGATAAGCAGGTCCGCGACACACACTCATCTGAGCAGTAACAACAGTGCCGGCCAATGGCAGCAACAGCAAGGGTTGTAGCAGCAGAGCAGCATTTCGTCGCAAGTGCCGGCCGACGCCTGCCGCGTGCGCTGCCGGGGTTTTCGGTAAATGTCGCCCCACGTCTCCCGTACGATATGGTGTCTGTAGAGAGGTCAGGGTAACGTTGTGAGTCTCCTTGAATGCATCGTGTCCTCCCCCCCCCCCCCCC